GGTCGACCGCGCCGGTCGACCGATGAAGTCTCTGTTTGTTTTTACTTGTTTTCAAACCTGCCTCCGGTCAACCGAATTTTCGGTCGGTCGACCGAACCATTTTTCCGGTCGACCGAACCAGTTTTTTGGTCGACCGAAAATCCCTTCGGTCAGCCGTGACTTTTTTCAAACGGTCATTTGCCTAGAACACTGTGCTTTCACTTATTAGTGTTTGGCACAGTCTGAGGTAAGGGTCTGAAAAGGAGATTAGTTTCTTAACTGGGAAGATTGGGTTTAGTTTTTAAATTGATTAATCTCTTCTATTTAAACCCCAGACTTCTTCTTCTTCCTTGCCCTAACGTTTTGCAAAAACCAGAGAGACTGCTGTCTTCCTGAGAGAATTTTCAAATCTGTTTTCTCTGTGGTTTTTGTGTGTGTTCACTTCCCAGCTTCAGTAATCCTTCTCTTTGCCATAGGGGCTGTGTAAAGAGAGAGTCTTGCATCTTTTCTTCTGCTGTGTGAGTGAGATCTTGTGTAGATCAACTGTGAGGGAGTGTGATCTGTTGAGATCAAACTGTGTAGTGAGAGATCGTGTGGGATCGCTGTGTAGACGAAGTTCCGGCTTCCAAACCGGGTGTGTAGTGGATTTCTCCTCGAGAGTGGGGAGCGGGGACGTAGGTCAGCGGGCCGAACCTCGTTAACACATCGCGCGTCAAGGATAATGATTCCTAACTCTATCTCTTTTACTTTGATTGCATTTCTGTTTTGTGGATTGCTTGTGTTTATTTTTATTGCATATTAGAGCCTCTTGACCCTAATCACCCCCCTCTAGGGTCCAACAGCTCTCCGGTGTTCGTCAGGTATGACACAGTCTACTTTAGTAGAGACCTGTCGACATAACTTGCAGACCGACCTCCTAGCCCGAATCGGAGTTGCAGAATGTCGTTCTTGGAGACAACTAATCTCTCAAGGCGAACATGCTCAAAAGATTATTGCCAGGATCAAAGCTGAAGAACAAAGTAGGCAGGATCAACCTGAGCAATCGGACCAAGCCCAACCTTCTCCTGAGCAATCGGACCAAGCCCAATCTCCTCAGTCAGAAGGGGAAGATACTACGACCACTGAAGCTAATCCTCTTCAGTAGGATGCCGGGTCTCCAATAACTATCACGTTAACAATTACCTCTGATAGCCAAACTCATTAGATAGTGGCCTACTCCTTTTCCCCCCTGCACTTGTTCAAGACTGGGGGTTGGTTTATTTGTAGTTCATTGGATTGTGAGTAATAAAGTTTCTGAGTTGTTATGTTTAATAGAATACATCTGTCAACCATAAAATCTACCAAAACTATCACGTTAATAGTTATCTCTGATAGTCCATCAATCTGCCAATCCACTCCAATAGAATGACAGGTCCACAAAACTATTATGTTAACATCTACCTCTCATAGTCCCTCAACTTGTCAATCCTCTTCTCAATAGGATGACAGGTCCATAAATCTATCACGTTAACAGTTACCTCTGATAGTCCATCAATCTGCTAATCCACTTCAATAGGATGGCAAGTCCACAACTATCACGTTAACAGTTACCTCTGATAGTCAAACTCAAATGGCAAGTCCACAACTATCACGTTAACAGTTACCTCTGATAGTCAAACTCATCAGATAATGGTCTACCTGGTGATGTGCCTCTATTCCGACTTCATGGATAGTGCCCCACTAGGCGATGTACCTTGTCTACCTCTTTTTTATTCCCCTGCTAAGTCTTAATCAAGACTGGGGGTTGGTTACTTAGAATCCATTGGATTAAGAGTAACGAATCTTTCACATCGTCGAGTTAACATTACACTTCTGACGATCATCGTCCCCACAGAGTATGCATTCAGCTTGCATCACTCCCAATTTGTCACGTTAACAATATACCTCTGACAATAATCAACTTATCAATCCTTGACAATAGGATTATAAGTCTTCAAAATCTTGTTCAAATCACAAGCATCAAAATTAATCGCTTTTGATGATAAACTCATTTAGCAAGTTTCCCCAGGGAGACGCTAATTCCTAAAATCTTATGCAAGTCACAAGAACACATTCCTGTCACGTTAACAATATACCTCTGACAACAATCCACTTATCAATCCTCGTCAATAGGATGATAAGTCTCCAAAGTTGCTCCAATCGCAACACATTCCTGTCACGTTAACAATATACCTCTGACAAAATCCACTTATCAATCCTCGTCAATAGGATGATAAGTCCACAAAGTTGCTCCAATCGCAACACAAAATCCAGTCAAGTTAACATCACACCTCTAACGATCAGACAAACTTATCGACTCTCTTCAATAGAGCGATAGGTCCACGAACCAGTTACACCTCTGGTGCTTCCAACTTTCTTTCAGTGTTTCAAGTAACACAGGAAGAAATAATGACAAAAAGCCTACGTATTCGACATCGTAGCAGGTCGTTATTAATAACACCAAAATCCATGCCTTACACGCATGGGGAAATTTATCCTGAATCCTAAGTAGGGATAAGTCAACGCCTAACACACGTTGCCGGTTAGTCTTTCACCGTAAAAAGGACAAAAGTCTACGTATTCAATATCGTGGCAGGTCATTATTAATAACGCCAAAATCCGTACCTTACACGCACGGGGAACTTTATCCCAAATCCTAAGTAGGGATAAGTCTACGCCTAACACGCGTTGCCGGTTAATCTTTTGCCGTGAAAAAGATATCAAAATCCATTCCTCACACGCATGGGGGACTTTATCTCGATCCCTAATTAGAGATAAGCCTACGCCTAACACGCGTTACCGGTTAGTCTTTTTCTGTAAAAATGACAAAGTCTATGTATTCAAAATCACAGCATCAAGTCTAAGAGGGTTCATTCTCTTAGCACAACGTTACATGTGAAACGGATTCAAATAATTCACATGCTAGCCCGACTCAAACGGTAGTCGGTAAAGGCTTATCAAATTCGTTGATGGCTGAAGGTTTGCCAAATATCCTATGCATGTTCGTAGGTCCATTAGCTTAATGGATGTGAGCCGAGACTTGAAACAGATAAGCTAAAGACAAGTCTCAAAGACTTAGTCAAAAAATGCACGGAATCCACTTCCATGTCTTAAGTCAAAATGCTGAGGTCAGACCCACGATGTAAAAACCAAACGCGGAGGTAAGACGCTGAGGTCAGACCCGCGATGCAAAAACCGAACGCCGAGGTCACACCCGTGTTCCAAATTCAACATGCAAGGGTGAGACCCGCGTCTCAAGTTCAAAACGTAGGGATATACCCCAACATTCCAGAAGCAGGATTATGGCGCATACCTTCACACAGGTCCTATATGGCAAATCCCTTCAATCAAGATACCTTCGAAGCGAGTGCAGAGAACGACTCCTTTACAACAAGGAATCAACAACTCCAGGATCATAGTTGAGATCCAAAGTATTCCGAAAATTCGTCCCAGTCAACCGTGAACTTTCAAAAACTTTGGAGGGGGTTCTGTAGGCTATCTAAAAATTACAATGGATAGCTGATACCCATCAAGCCCCGACAATGAAAGTTACAATCAGACGACTTTCTAATCACTGCATCCGCAACTCTACAGTCGCTATAAATACGGCCTCATATTTTAGATGATTGATCTTGATGGCTGCGACAACAACATGACTAATATTATATTAGCAACTATTAGAGATGCTGATGAGCAGTATGATGATTTCAGAAATAAAAGGTTGGACTTAGTTGGTGAGTTGCTTGGTGATAATCATATTTTTATTACAATTTTATACCCTCATTATCTATTTTACATGAATAAATATACCATTAATAAGTGTTATTAGTTTAGTTTGCACATAATTGAATGAAAATATAAATAAATATTAGAAAATAAAAAAACTCCTAAAAATCTCTCTTCTCTATTTTGTAGCATTTTAGAAGCCCATGAAGCAAAAACTTAAAAGAAGAATTAAAGCCCATGAACAATAAAGCCAAAAAATACTAAGGAATTGCCATTTACACTCAAAATTGGAATTTTGTTTCAGGGCTTATTCTTGGTTGTTTCTTCCAGCAGTAGCTGCAGGTCTGGCTTACAATGTACCGGGTGAGTATTTATATATCGGAGCAGCTGTTTTTGTTGTCATCTTCTGCGGTATCGAGATGGGAAAGCCTGATAAGGCTCATAATTTTGAGCCTGGAATTTACAATATGGAAAGAGGAGCTCGCGATAAGTTGATAGCCGATTACAACACTATGGACATCTGGGATTTCAATGAGAAGTATGCATTTTAGAAGCCCATGGGCATAGCCGATTACAACACTATGGACATCTGGGATTTCAATGAGAAGTATGCATTTTAGAAGCCCATGGGCCGGTTGTGAGATTTTCATCAAGACCGGACTTTCATCAAATATCAAAGGAGCCTTTGTTTCTTTTAGGCTTAAATGGCCAGACTTAGTTGCTGCTGAGATGTGAACTTGGCTTTTTGGACTTGAAAATCAAATGGAATGAGATGGACTTGGCTTCTTGGACTTGGGCCGGACCTAAAACAAGCTTTGTTGCATATCATTTGAAAGGAGGCCGGACATGTTTTGTTTAAAAATTAAGTGGAGCTCTACAGACTTAGCTTGTTTAAATGACTTGGGCCGGATGTTGTGCTGCAACTTGGACTTCACAAGAAAATGTGCTCAAATAAATGAATGGAAGTGGGCTACAAGCTTCTAAAGGCCGGACTTGGAAGGTGGAGAGTTAATTTTAAATGAAGACCGGACTTAAGCTTGGAATTTGCAAGAAAATCATTGTTGAAAATCAAATGAAGATTGGGCCTTGGAAAATCAAATAAAGATTGGGCTAGAGAAGAACAAAAAGCAAATTCCAAGGTAGAGATTGTTGCTTGGGGCTCAAGACCTCATTCACTGATGTTTACTATAAATAGGGGTAGAGAGTGAGGGGTTAGAGGTGTGAAAATTTTGTAAACTCCTTTTGGAGAGGAGGGCTACTCTTAATTGAGAAGGCCTTCCAAAAATTGTAACTTTAGTTGTAATTAATAATAAATAATTTTTTCTCTTTAAATTTGTTCTTTCTCCTCTTTGTTGAATGATGAGGATGGAGATGAAGAGCAATTTGAAGGTTTGCATTTCTTTTCTCTTTTATTTCTTTTTAGTAATTTCTTTATTATTGCTTATTAGTTAGATTTAAATTCATGCTTGTAGTGTAGATTTATTTTCTTATCTTTTTATTTCTTTTTGCACTTTAATTTGTAGAATAGATTTATTTTCTCAACAGTTAATCATAACAGAAAAGATTGTTCTGTAAAATTATGTGATGCTCTGTGGGCGTATAGAATAGCTTTTAAGGCTAATTTGGGGATGTCACCATACAGACTTGTATACGGGAAAGCTTGTCACCTACCAGTAGAATTAGAACATCGAGCAATGTGGGCAATAAAACAGTTGAATTTTGACTCAGACTCGGCAGGTAAAAACAGATTGCTTCAAATAAATGAGTTGGAAGAAATTAGAAATGATGCATACATAAACTCAAAAATTTACAAAGAAAAAACAAAGATTTTTCATGACAAATCAATTTTGCGAAAAAATTTCTCTCCAGGACAGAAAGTTTTATTGTACAATTCAAAATTGCATCTTTTTCCGGGAAAATTGAGATCAAGATGGACTGGTCCATTTTTTGTTAAACAAGTTTTTCCACATGGAGCTGTCGAGATAGAAAATCCTAAAAATGGTAATATTTTTAAAATAAATGGTCAACGTCTGAAACCATTTTTAGAATTTTCTACGCTCGGAGAGGAAGAGGTGTTGGTTCTTCATGAACCTCATTATCTTTAAAAAAAAACTAATTTTTCTTTTGTTTCTAAAAAAAAAAAAGTTCTTTTGTTTCTTAAAAAAAAAAGTTCTTTTGTTTCTTATAAAAAAATAAAATAAAAATAAAAATAAAAATAATTACTTACATTTTTTCTCTTATTTGATTTCTTCATCCTCATACTAACAGCATGAACCTCATTATCTATAAAAAAAAGTTCTTTTGTTTCAAAAAAAACACATAACAAAAATTTGAATAAGTAACATAGGTAAAAAAAAATTACTTACAATTTTTCCTCTTATTTGATTTCTTCATCCTCATACTAACAGTAATTGCAGATCCTTATCATCATTGTCAACCGAACAACTGTAAGTTCTTCTATTTTATCTGCTTTACTTTGTGCTTCAGCGAATTTGTATTGAGGACAATGCAAAATTTAGGTGTGGGGGTGAGAAATACATATTTTCCTCTTTATTTTACCTTTTTAGTTTTTTTCTTTCTTTTTGTTAAAAAAATTTATAAAAATATTGTCACTTGCCAAATTAATAGAGTTAAGTAATAATTGATCAAATTGATAGATTTTAAATTTTCTAATTCTTAGTTAGTGACATATTCAAGTTCACCTTTTATGATAACTCCAAATAAAATTCTTAAGAAATGATTTTTCAACTAGTATACTTTACTTAAGTCTTACCTTAGATTTTTAATTAAAAATAATAAAATTTTTGCATGCTTAACTTAGCGTTGAAAATATTTTTTTCAAGTTATCTTGATTTACATATTTTTTTAAGACTATATATACTTACACATATATATATTAAAAAAAAACTAACCTTATAAAGAAGAGTGCGAAAAATGGGCACCACTACAAAAAAAAAATCTTAAATTCAAGGTGATTCTATCTTATAAAGCCTAAGTTGACTGAGTAATTAAGCCCAAGAAGTATTTCTATAATTAATGACCTAAGCCCAATTGGGTTGGGATTCATTGGCCCAAAACTCGTTAAATGGTCACTTAGAAAGCCCGTTAAAATAGAAAACAATCACCAAGAATTAGAGAGTGAAAAAATATATATATATATATATATATAACACTAACCATTGTTTTTATATATATATTGTTGTTTTGTATATATGGTCTTGAAAAACAATTTTTGATCAAGAGACTTGAAAGTTATTTAAAACAAAGAGTTAGCATGTTCTTTTCAAAACTTTTTAATTAAATTTCTAAGATTTGACTTGGTTTTGTATTGCTATAATGAAAAAGATTTTCTAGGGGATTTACATTGGAGTTATATATAAAAACGTTTTTTTGATTATTAACTAGCTTCAATTAGAATGTTTAAATATATCAAGGAAAATCTGTTATTTACTAACTTCTTTAAATTGGCAAGATTGACCGAATTTTGTGGGTATATTCACTGCAAACCCTCACGAGACTACAACTCGTCCACTAGAGTAACCTAGGGGTTTAAAGGCTTGTTGTATGCGCTAAATACAACCGCGATTCCTGCGAAAGTGAGTTAGATTTTTATTTTCTTTGCTAGAGGACTAGCAAAAGTTTAGGTGTGGGGGTATTTGATAATCATATTTTTATTACAATTTTATACCCTCATTATCTATTTTACATGAATAAATATACCATTAATAAGTGTTATTAGTTTAGTTTGCACATAATTGAATGAAAATATAAATAAATATTAGAAAATATAAAAACTCCTAAAAATCTCTCTTCTCTATTTTGTAGCATTTTAGAAGCCCATGAAGCAAAAGCTTAAAAGAAGAATTAAAGCCCATGAAGCAATAAAGCCAAAAAATACCAAGGAATTGCCATTTACACTCAAAATTGGAATTTTGTTTCAGGACTTATTCTTGGTTGTTTCTTCCAGCAGTAGCTGCAGGTCTGGATTACAATGTACCGGGTGAGTATTTATATATCGGAGCAGCTGTTTTTGTTGTCATCTTCTGCGGTATCGAGATGGGAAAGCCTGATAAGGCTCATAATTTTGAGCCTGGAATTTACAATATGGAAAGAGGAGCTCGCGATAAGTTGATAGCCGATTACAACACTATGGACATCTGGGATTTCAATGAGAAGTATGCATTTTAGAAGCCCATGGGCATAGCCGATTACAACACTATGGACATCTGGGATTTCAATGAGAAGTATGCATTTTAGAAGCCCATGGGCAGGTTGTGAGATTTTCTTCAAGACCGGACTTTCATCAAATATCAAATGAGCCTTTGTTTCTTTTAGGCTTAAATGGCCAGACTTAGTTGCTGCTGAGATGTGAACTTGGCTTTTTGGACTTGAAAATCAAATGGAATGAAATGGACTTGGCTTCTTGGACTTGGGCCGGACCTAAAACAAGCTTTGCTGCAGATCATTTGAAAGGAGGCCGGACATGTTTTGTTTAAAATCAAGTGGAGCTCTGCAGACTTAGCTTGTTTAAATGACTTGGGCCGGATGTTGTGCTGCAACTTGGACTTCACAAGAAAATGTGCTCAAATAAATGAATGGAAGTGGGCTACAAGCATCTAAAGGCCGGACTTGGAAGGTGTAGAGTTAATTTTAAATGAAGACCGGACTTAGTCTTGAAATTTACAAGAAAATCATTGTTGAAAATCAAATGAAGATTGGGCCTTGGAAAATCAAATAAAGATTGGGCTAGAGAAGAACAAAAAGCAAATTCAAAGGTGGAGATTGTTGCTTGGGGCTCAAGACAAATCCAATGGCTCATATTCATTGAAGATTACTATAAATAGGGGTAGAGAGTGAGGGGTTAGAGGTGTGAAAATTTTGTAAACTCCTTTTGGAGAGGAGGGCTACTCTTAATTGAGAAGGCCTTCCAAAAATTGTAACTTTAGTTGCAATTAATAAAAAATAATTTTTCCTCTTTAAATTTGTTCTTTCTCCTCTTGTTGAATGATGAGGATGGAGATGAAGAGCAATTTGAAGGTTTGCATTTCTTTTCTCTTTTATTTCTTTTTAGTAATTTCTTTATTATTGCTTATTAGTTAGATTTAAATTCATGCTTGTAGTGTTGATTTATTTTCTTATCTTTTTATTTCTTTTTGTACTTTAATTTGTAGAATAGATTTATTTTCTTGTATTTAATTTTTGTAATATATTTTGTAGTTTAGATTTTTATTTTCTTCATAGTTAGATTTATTTCTTGTTCATAGTTTAGATTTTTCTTTTATTTTTATTTTTGTAATTAGTTCTTTTTCTTGTTTTTATTTCTTAAAGATGTGAATTTAATTCTTGTAGGAAGTTTAGAATTATATGAAACTAGTCTAATTTCCTTTATATTGTATGAATTATTCTCTTGCACTTAAAATGTTCATGTTTAGGATAATCAACTAGAGAACTAATCGGTAGAAGAAGAATTTGATAATCTATGCTTATCTTAAATGGTTTGATAGGTTATGCTTATGAATTCTAGGATTATTATCATGTTGTTGTTCTTATCATGAATAGTAATTTTAACTTAGATGATAATTTGATAGGTTACACTTTCCTTAAATGGTTTGATAATCTATGCTTAATAAATCTAAGTTGAAATATGATAAAAAGAGAATAGTTTATATTTTGTAATTGAAATTGGTTAGTGGATTATATTCTAGATTTCTTACCTCTTTTGAATCCTCCATCTTTATTTTCTTTAAATTTTCTTTTCATTCTTGGTTTTATTTCTTGATTTTATTCATTCTTCTTTCTTGCCTTGTGATTTTATTTATTCTTTGATTCTTTCTTCTCTAAAATTCAATTTATTACCTCTTGCATATAAATCAAAACAACCACTCATACAATCACACTTATTCTTTATTCCTAAGTGTCACGCACAAAATATAAGAACCATTTCTAATAATCTCTTAAAATCACTTTCCTCGTGGGATCGATATTTTTTATACTATAACTTGATAAATTGTGCACTTGCAATTTTGGTACATAATTAGTTGCTTGGTAGAGAGCTGTGGGCAAATATTCGTCTAAATATCACAATGGATAATTGATCCCCATCAAGTTCCAACAATGAAAGCTACAATCAGATAGCTTTCATGCCAACAAACGAAAGCTGCAAACGGAGGACTTTTCACATAGATCGAGAAGAGTTATAATTCAACGACACTTTCGACAACTGATGAAAACTCTATTCAACAGTCTTCACAATCTACAGTGAAATTTACAATCTGACGACTTTCACACTCCACAACAGCTAAAGCTAGGATTATTGAACAACGGTCCTTGCAACACTCTGTAGAAGAGGTTACAGATCAACTAACCCCTTTTAAAACGCGAAAGTCATCCCTGCATTACAATTCTGGAAGTACAGGCGACCCCCGCGTTTCCAAGCTACAACAAGTCAAACACGAACGACCCTCGCATTCTTGAGGTTCAACCATCACCCGACCCCAGCGTTTCCAAGCTGCAACAAGAAAAACACGAGCGACCCTCGCGTTCATTGATGTTCAGTCAACACCCAACCTTGCGTCTCAATTCTAAGATGCGAAGTTGGGGTTCTGAACGCCAGATTGGGCGTTTGACTCGTTCAAACATGAGTCGAACGGTTTCAGAACTGTTTTCCCCACGATCTGAGGAAATCACGCCCACTTAGGAGCGGATTTAGAGGGCAGTTACAACCTCTTATCCCCCTATTAAAACTCAACAAACCCAACGGAGTAAAGGGTTGGATTTTCAGCATCTAAACCGCACGGGTTTAGAGGTTCTTCAGGATCTCAACCGCACAGAGAGGCAGGAGAGACGAAATCCTTGGAGATAGGATTTTTGAATCGAGTTCAGAAGATCAAATCTGAAAGGATTCTTCAACAACAGAATATCTGCTTGGTCATTAACCGAATCTTCGGTTCTAACAACTCTATTCACAGAGTTCTAACTCGTTCAGAGTTCTTAAACTCGTTAAAGAGTTACCCATCAAACTTTCCACAGAAGTTCATCGTTCCCACGAGATAAAAGACGGTCGGATCGTCAACGGAGAGCAAATTCGACGCGAACAATCAAAGGAGGCACTCCATCGCTACCTTGACGAACCAAGTTTTAAACAAAGGGGAGAATCAAATTCATTCTCCTCTCTTTTGTAATCAGGAGATTCAATTGTAATTGAGATCGAAGGAATATAAATCAATTTTTCTTTCATTTCTTTTACTTCAAATTTTCCACCAAACATGAATATAATAAATGTCCAACACATGGACTGAAAATGATGAATGTCCAACACATGGACTGCACATAATAATTGTCAAACACATGGACTGAATGAAATGTGTAGAATATCGATGAGATATATGAAAAGGATGTATATACACTAATTTCACACGTATCTCGGTGTGCAAATCTAAACTCATGTCCGCAAGCCATCTCACATATGAAGATACATAATAAACAATAATTTCTAATGCCAAATATTCGAGGCGACTCCTCGTTCACATTAAAGCACATAACAAAAGTAAACATGCACAAATTGTGCCGACGATCAACCGAAACAGGCAGAAACCCTTCATAGGTTTCTGTCTGCTTCGAAATAAATCTAGAAGTGACATCATTATTTTTCAAGTATAATATTACTGATATCAACATATATGAAACAACATGAAACGAAAATATTAGCATGTAAAAATATCGTCGAAACCCTAAACATTTATATACACATGTTTAAACGTTTTAAAAGCAAAAAACTTATGATTTAATTCTTGATTAATAAATTTCAGATCTGAAATTTGTCAAGGTTACTGTTGTAATCAATTAGAAAATTATAATATTGTATTCTCACTTCATAAGTTATAAAGATCTATCTTTTGTACACTAAAATTACGTTTTAGGCTCTAAATATCCGAATAAAACTTAATAAAACGTGCAAAATAAAAGGATGTAGAGTTGGGCGAGATGTTACTCGCCTCAGATGTTGAAAAACTCCTGCCACGTGAAAGAGAACCAATCCCCTTCGCTGCACTGCACAAAATCCGCTGAAAAATCCTCCGAAATCCCTCACAATCGCCAAGAAAAGAACTAGGGTTTGAGAGAGGGGAAATAGGGCTGCTAGGGTTTAGAACACAGGAGAAAATAGGTGTTTTTATGTTTAAACATGTGTATATATGATAGCAAACCCGTAAAACTACAGCCTAAAACCTGAAACCCGAATCTGGAAAACCCAGTCTGATTAGAAACATACTCTTCGGTATTTTGGCTGTAACATTTTTATCTGACCTTGGAATGAGGTGATTAAAGATTTTTTGGAAATATCTTGAAGAGACCTACAACTTTGGTTTTTTATATTTTTCCAAATTTCAACTACATCTATGAGAAAAATACAAAATCTCTTCACTAGTTATAAATTTCCAGATTTATACATCGAGCATGAATTGTGCATTTGCTCTTATATATATACATATATACATTGAATTGATCTCAAATAATTTCCTAGCATACTCAAACATCATAATATATTATTTATAAATATATAACATATTTATTATTATTTATCATAAAATATTTAAATTTTTGGGGTTTTACACTATCATTAGTTACGGGTTCGGGAGATAGATATTCTCATGACCACCTTTCTGACTCGTTATGGGACCTTTGAGTTTCTTGTCATGCCATTTTGGTTGACCAATGTACCTGCGGTATTCATAGACTTGATGAACCGGTTTTTCCATCCATATTTGGACTAGTTCGTGATAGTATTTATCGACGACATCCTTATATATTCGAGATCAGAGGCAGAGCACGAGCAGCATCTTCGACTAGCATTACAGATTTTACGGGTGCAACGGCTATACGCCAAGTTCAGGAAGTATGAGTTTTGACTTTCTAAAGTCAGATTTTTGGACCATGTTATTAGCCAGAAGGGTATTGCAGTAGACCCAGCTAAGGTAGAGGTAGTACTAGATTGGGAGCCAACGACGATAGTTACAGAGATTTGTAGTTTCCTAGGATTAGCAGGCTATTATAGGAAGTTCATTCAGGACTTCTTGAAGATTGTGACATCGCTTACACACCTTATAAAGATGGGTGTATAGTTTGTTTAGGGCACGAAATGCCAGGAGGCCTTTGAGACTTTGAAAGCTAAGTTGATTTCAGCGTCGTTG